TTCCTTTCAGGTAGACTTCCCTTTTGAAAGGACGCACTAACTGAGCGCGAAGTCTTTGAAATTCTTGGTACTGGAAAACCACTTTAGATCCGCCGAATATTGCTGTCCATGTTTATCATTTTTGGAACTCTTGATTAATGTCAACAGCAGAGATTATTCTTACAAATATTGGAAATATAAATATTCAAAAAAATCTATTCGTTTTTGAATTTAAAAATTTGAAATCTGACATTTTAAATTTAAATTTTGAATCTTGAATCTTGGATCTTGAGTCTTGAGTCTTGAATCTTGAGTCTTGAATTTTGAACACAAATCTTTGCTTCTCTTCATTTCCACCATTTATCAATACATCCATAATACTAATTACTAATAATTTTTTATTATTAAATGTACTAGAGTAAACAAATGCTATAAGGTACTAAGTGAAATAACTAAGTTATATCACACACATCTATCGAAGAAAGTGCACGAATCACGTCAAACAAAATTCCGTCGCCGTTCAAAGATTTCCCAGGGGCGAATGTAACGTCCAACGCTCGCTCGACGTGATACAATAACGCGAAAATAAGGAAATCGATGCAATCGAAGTTTGACAGTTTGAGATTCGCGGTACGCCGCCGTCTCGACCGATCCGCGTCCGTATGCACAGTGTACACTTCCGGCCGAGCCACGAACAACTTTCGAGATTCATAACGGAGTATTTCTACGGTGTAACTTCGCGGGCATAACACTTTGTACACAAGGAACATAAACTCGAGTTGAATTACGAACGGCAAACTCCGACGGGAACGTATTTCCGTGGATATGCGTGACAGACGAGCCGGAAGTTGTTCTCCGTGTTTTACGATTCATATTTCGGTGATTCCACGTAGTGTCGGGAATTAGCGACATCATTTGACAACATATTTCCCCTCGACCTGTCGCCCGGTAAATTAAATTAGCCCCCTCACATTAGAACTATTAAACGAGTCAAAATAATACAATTGGATTTCCTTTTTTACAATTATCGAAAAGATACAAATACCTTTTTGACAAGTTATTCGGTAAATTAAGACATGCCCAAACTAATTTATAAGCAAATTGAAAGCTCAATAAACTTATTCTTATAATTGTCATAAAAAGATATAGAACAGTCCATTTTTTTATCAGTAGTTCTAGTTACCGAACAAATTTCCCTGGTAGATTTCCTGTTCGAAAAATAGGAGTTAGGTATTAAACTTATAATTGTTCGATTATCAAGATAAAATCGATACCGATAAATAAGTTAATCTATTGCAAACGATTTTTCAAATTCTAAACTCTTTCGATAAAATTGAACTATACGTCGAAGTATTAAATACTAAAAAAACCAAAAACCGTCTGTAAATATTTCATTATTCGAATAATTAGATTACTTTTTTGTATCTTTCGATATCGAAATTTGGCATTCTTATTTTTGTCAGTCGACTGCAAAGGATTAATAAGATCCCGTACTATGTTTATAAATCTAGTATGTTCCAATGTGTCGCGAGCATTAAAGGATTAATCCCAAGATTATCACATTATTTCCCTTCGTTATGCTTTAATGACATTTATTCCAACAGGTTACTCAACAGAAACTCGCTTTCTCCAACGAGAAGCGTTTGCATTCCCATTTTTATTTATAGGTATTACGAAACAGGAACGCAATCTTCCCACGAACCGCTCCGAAATTTCGATTCGTCTAATGGAAACGTAGCCGTGCCACGATTTTCGTAGGAGATATATCCCGTGTCCGATGATTTACAAAAGCAACCCCGCGGCTTCATGTCGGACACTCCCCCCAAACATAATTTTCACGGTCGTATGATAAGTATTCGCGGAGAGCCGGCTGTTATCTTTTTCTCCTTCTCGCCTCCGTTTACCATTTCGAATTTATTGTTTATCAATTCTACGACGCCGGTCGGTATTTACGGTAATGCATTTATCCGAAATTTTCGCGGATAGGATAAGTCTGTACGTATATGTGTGTACCGTGTATCGCAGTCTTCGGGCTGAGATCTGATCGATAAAGGTCAATGTATCCTCTGAAAGTTCTCCGCGCCCAAGAGCAATTTTCAGCTTATCGGGTCGCGCTGGAAAGGGAACCGTTCGTGTAAATCTATATATATGTAGTATATATAGGTGTATATGTATATAAAACGAATGAGGGAGAGAGAGGAAATTCTTTATTACCTGGAAGGGTAATTTATAGTTGCGAGCCCTTTATCGGAGCGCGGACCCATTGATGGCTACGCGTAGAATTTTCGTTATGCCTTCTTTGCAGCTGTGTCCACTACGGCCACATTTTCCTTTGATCGGACTAATTAGCGAGAATCGATGACCACGGACATCCATTCAAACCGATGTGATCAGCTGTGTTCCTTCTTACCGAAGAAAGTATAAAGGTAAAAAGGAATGGATTTCGGAATATTATAGTATGATTTTGAAATATTATTAATATTAGTGCCTCTAATGTCTTCAAATAGATGACTTTTTATCTAAACGATTAGATAAATCAAAACTTTCATACGTCGAGATTGAGTCGCCTATCGCGTTCAACAGGAAAGATATTGACGAACTGCTTGACTATCTCAACAGTCAGCTTATATACTTGCAAGTAAATGATTATTTACTTAAATGATTAGATGAATCGAGACTTTGGTATATCAAGATTAGATATTCTATTAGGTAATTCGTAAGTTTGTGTTTATTGACAAACCAAATTCATTTCCCCCGAAATCATTCCGAACCGTTGACTATCTCAACAGTCAATGTGTGTATTTATGATTTACAAGAGAAAAAACAAGCTACACGGAAAACGGGGTTCACAGAGTGACGCCCAAGGATTCCAAGACCGTTCAACTCAATTCGAAAATCCGTTTTCCTTCGACCGTATTTTATTAATGGATAAAGCAAATTTCCGGCGCGGTAACCGTCGCCGAGGAAACCTAATTCGCAAGGGTTAACCTCGTAGAAAACCTTCGGGCGGTTTTCACGAGTTCGCTGCGACACACACGGCCGTTCGATCGACGCGGTGGTAGCGCGAGATTCAAGAAAAATTCTGAAGAGGCCGATTTAAAGTTGCGCCCGAGATCCCGTCGCGAAATCCACGGGAGACATCTCGCCGTCTCCGCCGCAGGATATTAAAACTTCGTCGTGGAAAATATATAGCAGCTGTCAGCCCGACTGGATACGTTCAGAGACGCGACGTAGTCTTGGAATAAAAATGCGACTTAAAGTATACAGGAGAAAATGGTGTCTAAAGTTTTTCGTCTCCCCGCGGTGAAAACTTCAAATTGATCCCACCGCTTCCTGTATCCCTTCCTCGAAATTTATTTAAAGACCGATATAAAAATATCGGAGCGGGAAAAAGAAAAATGAAAAATGGCCAATTGCAGTGAACGAATCTCTACTCTGGCAACAAGAACAAGTTGATCCCGCGGACGCGAGTTCACAAACGGAATCGCGAAATTACAGGTTCCGCGGGCGCAATAAACCAGGTAAATTATTCCGAAGTGGTTTATCTCCGACCGCGATAACCGTTTCTTCTAACCGGGTTCCGTTATCAGCTCCGGGCTGCGTATCTAATTCGTAATGCGCCGCCGCGCGCCGCGTAACTAGTTTCGTATTGCAGTCACAGCGGAGACGAAATAAAAGGAAAACACGTCGAAAAAGGGACACCGGATAAAGAATCCCGGTCCACTCTGCTGGTACTATGAATGAGAATAGGCTATTCCCGGCCAGCGCCTCCCCGCGACCACCCGCCCCTTCTTTTTCATCCCTTTTTCCGATACGCTTACACGTTCTTCGGTCGATACGCGTTTCGCTCGGCCGCTCGAAATTCTTTGCAGGACCACCAATTTCCATAAAATTATTACGGGCCGGTGTGTGCGAGCCGGAAATTTGCATACCGTGACCGTCTCGCGGTATCAACGAATAAAAAGCCACCCCTGCGCGCAGCGTTTCGACCTAAACGGGTTTTCCGTGTCTCCATCTTTTCGCGATTCAACGTTGCCTCGTGGAATATTTACCGTCTCGCTCGGAATCGAGATTTTGCACGTGCGAAAATACGCGAGGTATCGCGATCCTCGCGGAACTCGCGATAAACCCGCCCCCCTTCGCGTTCTTACTTTTAGCTGCTTTAAATTTATTTCTTTTACGGTATTGAGAGATCGATTTTTGTTTTGATTATAGCACGAATTAAGAGGTACATCTTTTATGGAGCGTAAAAGGGATTTTAACATTAGAACTACTGAGCACTTAAACTATCTTTCAAACTTCCTTTATAAAAACTATAAGCGTGAAGTTATTAAGATTTCAATTAATTTATATTTCAGTTTAGGTATTACTAAATCAGCTTTTTTAATGATTTCTTAAAGCAGTATATGTACCTTTGCAGTAATTCTAAAAGAAGAAATTAGGAATTGATCATTTTGACCCACCTGGTAGTTCTAATGTTAAGGGAAGATCAAGAGAGCGATTGTAGTTTCTATTAAAAATTTAATACATCTCTTTCGTATTTTAAGTTACTAATACACTGATATACAATAATAACAGCATTATATCTATTGTCATACTGATATACAATATTAATTCTGACGTAATACTATCAGAGCTTAAATTAGTACAAAGAACGTCTATTAAAAACGATCGAATCGTTAACAACTCCATGAAAACGTTGGGACACGACGGTGATCAGAAGTATTTACAACATTTTCGTATTATGCGGATAAGAGTAATTCGTCGGTGGATGTATCAATGCGAATCTCCGTGTAAAATGAAAAAAAATACTACTTATATGAAAACTGGTTAGCCTCGTAGGAAACGTGTTCACACCCGAGCAATTAAGTACTTCGTGTTTCCATGCGATCGATGATTATATCCGGAGAACGTAAAAAGAAAAGAATAGTATTAGACTTATGTAACACTGACCGAGGAGTATTAAGAGCATGGACAAAAAGATAAAATCATTCGAGCTACGCTAGTCGACAGCATTTTTTTTGTTTTTATACGTCTTGGTCTTTTTATTATGGATCACAATCGGTAGCTACAAAGTTAGATTTAAATGTTCGGAAGCGTACTAAGCGTAGCAAACCGACTAGTTTCCACTTCGACATCCGTTCTTTTACTTAATTCGTCCTCAATTGATAATCCCCGTTCTGCGTGATGTACCGAACCCAGGGCAACGCCTGATACCCACTCTTCTCGATGATCTTCAGATAACGCACCTGGATGCCGGAAGTTGTGAAATAGGGAATTTCGAATTTCACCTGAATCGGTGGCTTTCCTTCCACATCCTCGCCAATGACAGATGGTAAGCCAAAGTGCGCTCTCATCAGATACTCTTTGCCCCCAGGGAATGACTTGATGAACCATGTTATGGCGCTCTGTTCAGGAGAGTATTTGACACTGCCAATAGTAGTCTTGAACTTGGGCGAGTCTGCGTCATTGGGTACTGGAATTACAATTTCCACATTGTTGGCAGTGGACCGCCTCTTAAATTGTGATCTGGCTTTTATCATGTACTCTACTCTGCTATGAGCATGCCGTTCGATCACAGACTCAATCCATATAAGTGGCTTCACGTGGGTGTTCAATCTGTAGGACATTAATTCGAACTCTCCGTCAGGTGGAATGAAGGAAATTGTTCTATCATTTTCGAATCTAGACAATCTGACACATTGGTGGAATTTCACGTCTTCTAATTCTACTGATTTGGATTTTCCACGTCCTGTGGATTCAAACAGGACTTTATCGTTGAGGCCAAGTCTTAACTCTGGCATTCCTGATAAGTAAACTCTCATTTTTATGGCACCCACTATTTCAGAGCTCAACACATTTCCATTGGCATTCGCTAGAAGGTTCACAGACTCTATTACATCGAGGAACACCTCATTTTTGCGGTACTTAATGCCCTCTGATCTCCAAGATACAGCATTAGTCACGGCCATAGGAATACGTGGTTGTATTTCGAGTTTGTGTCCCTCTTGAGTAATATACTCTTGCAAGATTTTACTATCTGTGGTTTGAGGGTAGCCAAAATCTATGAGCTCGTCTAAAAGTTCGTATATAACAACAAAGTTGTCTCTTATGCTCTCTTCTTCTAATTCTTTAAAGTACTCTTGCATCACTTGCACCAGTTTATGCAAAAATACGAATACTAGAGAAATATTGGCATTCTTTTTCGTAGTTGAAACAATGTACAGATTATTGTACTTTATGTACGCATATGTACACTCAGAGGTTTGGATTATTGGAGTGAGATTTCCCTCCTCCTCGCGCTCCATCACAAGTGGCATAAATTTCTCTATGACACCAGTCTCTATGTCCCCACGATAATTTCGTGAGATCAATACCTTCCCCTTCACATCTAAAATATATATCGCAGATGTCGACATCTTTAAGATGTGTCAAACTGCAATTAAAAAAAAAAATCCATTTTGCATCGATTTTCAATAGTGATACAATGGTCACTTAATGCAGGAAGACAGATGGAGCAGAGGAGGAGTTGCAGTAATTGTTAGTGAACAGAAATCTGTGCATGAGTGTAGTAAAAGGTGAGGTTATGTTATCAAGCGGAAGAACGGACGCAGTGGAGCAATGTATTATAATGCAAAAATCAGAAAAAATCCCTTAGAGTAAAAATCGAGAAACAGTATACGAAAATGTGAGATAGGAGCAAGAAACGAATAGGCGAAACATACAGGTTGACACTAGACTGTACGTCAAGGTGGACGAACACAAATGAAGAGAAAAAGTTAATTAAACCAATAAAGTACTCACAACGTCCTTCCAATTCCTCGAGGAATAATAGTTCTTCGGTTATTCACATCGAAAGGAATTTCTCTTTGAGGAAAACAGTAAAACAGACTTTCATTCACAATAGGTGTTCCCCTCCCAACTGCCCGACTGCCACTGTGGACCGCCCTGAAGTTGCCACGGGCCGAGCGCAATCGAAGCGCATGCGTTGCCAACTTCTCGCCAGATATCGACCCGCCTGTTCTCCATGTCATTTGAACGCTTTATACGCGACGGTATTTATCGGAGCGGGTTTCCGAAAATTTTATAACAGAATATTAGCCCGGTCTTATTGCCGTGATAAAAAAGGTAATTTAATAGTTCGATTCTGACAGGGAATAACGATAGCACCGTACAATCGAATCGGCAAATCGTAAAAATTGAATGGCTTTTCATATATCCATTCCATCTATCTGTGACACTTTTCATCGATATTGCGCGGATTAAAACGTATAGAATCAAAAACTCGATTCACTCCTACCGATGAAAGAAACTTCGATTGATAATAATTTAACGGTGAATCACATAATTGCTCCATGAATTCTTTAGTAGACTTCAAAACGGAACCGGAAATATATGCAAGAATAGGCGGGAATATGAGTTAAGCTTCATTAAAATCAGATTCTTTTTACCTTTGAATGAAACAAAAATTCATTTCTTCATACAAACTTGATCACTGTCATTAAACGAGTAACACTTTGCGATCATAAGTATCGATTTAATATTCAAGCAAGGTTGAACGACAGTCTGCGACATTTTCAAGACTTTAACTGATAGAGACTCCGTTTCAGCCTGACAATGGGTCGGCAAAAGAAAGAAGAAGAAACGAAAGAATCGTATCGTGCGGCGTTGCGTTTCCAGAGGCAGTGAACACATTTCAATGTTACCGGTGGCAGCACAATGGCCGCTGGTGTTGCGTAATAAAAATGTAGCGTACCAAAAGTAGGCAATTGTAGCCCATAAAAGCGCGTCCGTAGGCGAGCCGTGCCTGGCGTCACCTATAAACTGTATAAAAGAGAAGCGGAAGTGATCGGGCAACGTTCGACGTGGAGCTTCGAAAAGGGAAGGAAAAGAAGAAGGCTGCTCGGAACTAGTCACTGTCAGCTGTCATGTTCTTTCCGCCGCCGGAAGCAACGCCAAGTCGGTGGAGCGTTTCCAATTTAATTAAACTGTAATTAACGGTATCGTTCCGCTCCGTTAAAGACAAAACAAAACGGAAGGAAAAAACCGCGAGGGGAAAAAGAGAAAAACAGAGGATCGAAAGAACCCTGACCTCCGAACGATTTTCCCGACGGTTGTATTATATCCGGGAAAATATCGTTTCCTTCCGCAGGTGCATTATTAACCGACAAACCGTTTATATCATTAACTTTCCAGCAGTCGCGAGAGAATTCTTATCCGAGCAGCGATCGACCCCTCTCGAATCGCAGCACTGTTTTTTCCATCGTAATTGAACGAGCCTGGCTCGATTATAAAGTCAAATTATCGATGGAAAGGAGTAGGAGTTCTTCCGTCGAACGAATGCATTTTCTTCCTTCCTTCCACCTCCCTACCAGCCTCGACCCACTACTATAGTCTCCTTCTTCTCCCTTTGCTCCCTTTCAACCTCACGTTCCCCTCTCCACTTCTTTTTTTCTCCCCATCCCTCGTAACTTATACTGCTTCGCAAAGCACGTATACGAAACGGGAAGAAAGAAAAAAAATCGACGAAATTAGATTTTTCAATCGATTGCAGTTCCAATTTTCCGAACATAATAACCGCGTTCCATTTAAATAGCTGAATAAATCTTCCATTGTTTCACACGCTCTCGAACCGTTGTCGAAAATCGCGACGCACGGAAATATAGGGAATACGACGTTTCGAAATTGATTGAAAGTTTAATAAGTGAGTGATGGTTAACATTTGTGCTTTCGAGTGTATCCAACTCGCAAACTAGGGAACAGGGCGAGGAACGGGTTACAAGGAAAATTGCTTTCTGAAATTTGACTTCATCTTCTCGTCCCCGTTTCCTCGTTGACCAATCCCGGCGTCTATTTTCTTTCGGCCGTTGTTTCCTCCGGGTTCTGTCGCTGTTTCTTCCGCTTTCTCCGTTTCATTCCCCGGCGTCAGATACGAACCCACTGGCGCAGAGCAATCCTCCCGGTTCTCGGTCTGTCGGTTTCAGCGGATGAAACGTCAATCCCAAGATAAAGTGGCGGAATACGGAGGGTTGGCGGGGGAGAGTCGGATCTCGGCCGTGCTACACGTTTGTCGGTCGAGCAGGCTCTCTCCGCTTCTTCCGGGAGGTTCGCGCTCGCGGGGAGCTGAAAGTTAGAGCCGCCCGGGGAATCCGACGCGACCGATAATTGAGGCTCGGAATTAAATTAGCGGAACTTCGATTCCTCGAACGTCCCTCGTGTGACGTAGTTATAAACGCGTTTCCTTGCCTTGGTGTTTTCTGAGCGTCTAATCGCCTGAGGAAACCGTCAGTGCGTCAACGAACGGGGGGAATTCAAGTGGCCGCCAACTCGAGCGTTAATTCTATTCAAACTGCTCCCATTCTACTCAAACTACTGTGTCAAATATTTATTTGCTGGGGAAGGTTTCGTGCTTTAAATTGTTTTTGAACTTCCCGATGCACTGCCGACTTAATGGCGACGTAATGGCAAGTTAGTGCTTTCATATCTGGAGCAAGCTGCAAGTGAAAAATTTAATTATTTAAATACACGAGAGATTCATACGTGACTTTTTCTTTTTCAATATTTAAGAATTCGGGGCGCAATTCAGTTTTCTATAGAAAGAGCTTTTCGCAATAAGTTCACAAATTATCGCTGGTGAGTAATTAACAGGTTGGATTCCCAGTTAGATACGTGTATCGTACCGTTTGAAACGTTGGCAGGCACAATTGGCGCATTTCTGTCACAGTGTTGCGTATCGAGAGGTACACAATTCATGTTCAGTAACGTTACAGGATCACGCAACATTTTTATCGCAAAACAACTCTTGAAAGAGCGCAGCACTCGCGCGGAGTTACTTTAACGATAAAGTTGACAAATCGTTTCGTTAACGGTGTGAGTTACGGGTTCGAATCCTGTTCGCTTATGTTCGCTCCCCCTTTGAAACGAGTAACCCACCCTTGACTGGTACTGGTTCTTATCTGAAACTTTCAATAAGCACGCGAGTATCACTGAATCAAAAGGCTCATTTTCCATCGAGATTTATTCAAATTTAAGTGGAAGTTACTTTACATTAACGTTACCTTCGGCTTAAGTAAAATTATTCAGTAAATTATGGTTGGGAACGATTAACCCTCTAGACGAGGATTTTTTCAAGTAGATATTCAAAACTTTCAGTAGGAAAAAGTAAATTATATTAAGGAAAAAGGATATTAAAAAATAGAAAACTATTCCTTCAGTAATATATATATAATATCTACATGTGAAACTATGACACCACCAATATGACAACATCCGTATTCAAAAGGTTAAAATGATACCAAGGTGATTATACACTATCTACATCATTAATAGTAAGAAAAACCCGTTATAATCGTCTCCATTAAATTGTAAACTCATTACTAGTAAATGCAATTCGTGTCTTACGTCCGAACCACAAAGGCAGCTGGGTTGGCTTAGACGTTACGGATAGTAGGTGGTCGAAGCGGGAACGTGACGTGGGACACTGATTGCTCGAAGGAAGTCTGGCCTGACCGCAGGTCGCTCCCTTTTTCGCTGGTCACCGGTTCTCTTTCTTGTATCTTTTGCACGCCGTCCGCCGATACTTCGATCTAACGCCCCGTCCCACCGTCCCTCGGTTTCAGATGGGGCAAAGAATAGCTGCGTCGGCTTTTGGAACTGGCGACCGTTACGGGTCGGCGAAACTCCGCTGGAAACAGGGCGGTGCACGACGTCGGCCGCATTTTGTCATTCACGGGATGTTTTGAGTGTAATTTAACTTACGCTCGGGGCTGGGGATTCGATAGCGGGGCCGGAGGAAACAAGGGAGAAAGGGGTGAACGCGACGAACGACGCGATCCGGGGCGGCCGCGTTTTGCATAACGAAGTCACCGAGTGATTTGTCGCCGGCGCTTTGGATGGCCTGCGAAATAGCACGGAAGCCGTTCCCGCGACCCGATTGGAAATATTTTTCCATCCCTTCCGGTGACGGGCGCGCCTAAGGTACGTAGGTACGTACGCGCCGCAATCTTCCGATGTTATGGGGCGTGTGCGAGAGCTGCGACGCGATGCGACGCGATGCCAGCCTGCTGAATAAAACGGCTGCGGGCCGCGTTATACATTTTTATAAACGGGATCCGCTGAACGGATGCTCAGAACAGTTTTCGATACCGGTTTGCCGCTCGACAAATTGCTACGCGCTGTTCGATATTCTCCCGGACGAGTTTCTTTTCTGATTTTGGCTTTTCATTTGTGAAATATTCATGAGAAATTCTACGGGTTCGAGGGAGATTATATTAACTTGTATTTTATTTGGGTTTATCGTATACAGATTATGAATGCTTTTGTTTAATGTTTTCTTTGGTGATTGCTTTAAAGATTTGTAGTTTACTAAGTGTACTAGTTGGATTTATTGAAATTGGTAGAAGAAAAGTAAGAATTGAAGGAAATAAAGAGGTGTGAAATAAATTATGAACACATTAAAGAATGTAAGAGATTTAATATAAAACTTTGAAGAGATTATAACACGGTCTAGCTACCGATTTCTTCATTAGAAGCAACGATGGTCTGCCCCACGAGAAACCAGATTATTTTTATAGAAACTTTACCCTTTCAAAAGTCAGGGTAATTTTCTTTGGAATGAAAAACCTCTGCCCCTCACTGCGTGAACGTTTTACTTGAGTATCCATCACACTGCACTCGAGTTTAAGCCTCCAATTCTTTAGCTTCCAGAGAAATTACAATACGGGTCCAGACTTTCTCAAATAACTCTTTTTATTAACGAAAATTAAAAATTATTCCAACATTCACCATTTTCATACATTTGAATACATTCAGGGAGCCGAGACCGACCCATTGAATAATCCCAAAGGATGAACACCGTAACACTGTTCCAAAGACCCGAAGACAAATCCCCATTTGCATGTTGGTTCTCAAGAAAATGATCTTGAAACGTTTCACCTCCTTCATTATTATGAACCAGCAGATTTAAAAAATATGTTCCGCCGACTGAAAACTTCTCTTCAGCAAAAATGAACGTTTACGCTTAGCGTTGGACTACGGATTTTTCTGCATTTATGAGAAAAGTGCAAAATTGCACAAATTCAGTACAGATAAATATATAAAATATCAAAGTATAATCCTTTTCATAATACTCATTAAACAAAGAATTATTCTTCATCACAATTCTAATTTTTTAATTACATTCTCAAGCATTCAAATTTGCATAAAGATGCCCAATCTACTTATTATCATTAACCTCTTAGGTTCGATGTGCCACTATAATGGCTTCCGCTGATGTCATTTTATATTACAATGATCGATTTCGCGGATATGATCTTTTTAAACGGTACGTCACTATATCGGCACAATTATTTCTTTGTAATCGATAGTTGTGCACATTATAATCTGATTTAACGTAATTGCGCAGTGAAAAGTTCGATCAATCTTAAATCGCAGTGGTATTACATTTATTATATGTAGACCGTGTCAAACCATGACGTACAGAGGTATAGCTTCGCGGCTAGTCCTAAAATGTTAAGAACCAAACAATTTTCTTACCTGTGTTCCTCAAACATCGTCTGTATAACCGATAATCTTTTCAGGTTGGAGGCAACGCGTGACACTGATCGATCGTTCTAAAATGCTGCGGCAGCCGCGGTGATCATCTCGGCGATCTCTCGGCTGATCTTCGGCTGTGGCTAAAGTCGCGTTCCACGGTTATGCTGCTGGCGTCGCTTCGGGTGGCCGCCAGCAAATGCTGTCATGCTCTTGTCATGCCAGCCGGCGGCCAAGAAGAGGCCGCTGGCCACGAGGTCCTTGAGCAACTCAACGAGCTTCCCGTCGACGGCAGGCCACTGCCTCCTCCTGATAGCTGTCCTCGTTCTGATCGGCTGCGAGGGATCGCTCGCAGCCTCGCAAATCCGCTACGCTTCGCGCATCGTCGAGACCAAGAGCGGACAAATTCGAGGGATTCTTCAGGTACGTGTCGTCGATTTTTCTTTCTGTTTCGTTTCCTTCATCTTTCTTTTCTTCCTTTGTGCACTGAACAAAATGCATCTTTTACTGAAGGATCAAATCGAATTTCGATAGTTAGATTTCTTGTTTATATATCAAATTAAGTGTTCTGAGAAGTAAAGTGAAATCTTGATTATATATTATTAGTTAATTAGTACTGAGATGGTTTGGATAGTTAAATATTTAATTTGAATAATCAAACAGTAATACAAATGAAAGATGATGCATTACTGGTTGGTATAATACAAATTTCTGACAACCAACCTGCGGATAATCAAAATTCTACTTATTTTCGCGACTAGTTCGAAACCACAGTGCTAACTCACCAAAATAAACGAGCCACATTCTAACTTTTATCATTACTCCCATTCGCCGTAGCCTCGCTTCTAATCAGATAGCTTAAAACCACTGTATTTCTTTGAAAATCCCGTTGCCTCGCTGGCAAAAGCACTTCTCTCTGGCCGTACTTTAATTAGTTTGTGCTCACATTTTTACACAACGTAATAGGATAAAAATGTGTATCCAAGGAGTAAAGCGTTTCCGTGGGTAAAATCGAGGAAAATTGGGCCAGCAGATAAACGGAAAAGTGGGTTCGAAGGAAAAAATTCCTACCAAGACCCTCTACATCTTCTTATTCATCTTCCGATAGTAAACTGACGTTTTAAACGCTCGTTAAACTCGTCGTCAGGAAACCGGAAACACGGCTCCAGCAGTCGTTGTCGTCGATAAGCATGAACGTTAGGGGAAATTAATGTTAATCATTCAAACAGCTCGCTCGGGGAGAAAGCTTCTAGCGCAAACTTTTCGCCGGTGCGCGCCGCTTTTCACTTTCTTCCGAAGAGAAAAGAGAACGACGACGTTCGCGATATGTTTTTCTCGAAAATAACTTAGCCCGAAACAGATGAGCACCGATCGTTCGCATACAATATGTATGACGTGCTTGCCAGCCTCGCGAAGTCTCAAAGGATCCGTGGGAGCAGATTGTACCGTGGAAAAACCAGATCAAACGGCGAATAAAATTCGCATGACTCGCGAACGTTAACCCCTTGCACTGGAAAAATGTACCACGCGCGTCGAGATGGTTTTGTCCAAACGTTGCCAGTGACGTCTTATACACCATCGATAATCTCGTTGTATTAAACATACCAGATTGCTTTAATATGTATTACTCGATTAAATGATTCCGAACCCGTGACGAAAATTTTAAACTAAATTTCAGAAACCTAAATGTTATTTATTTTTAAAAAATATAAACTAAATCTTACTTTTCTATCATCAATCGTTAATCTTTGGACTAAACGTAGACATAAGCAACACAATCTTTTCTTTTCTTAATACATTATTAACGATAGAGAAGTTGTATCGATCATAGTTAAGAAATACATCATAGGGCAAGGGGTTAACTGAAGATATTTTGTGTCGAAGTTCAGGGGCACTAAAGTGGCTATTTGATAAATGTCCGTTCGCGAAGACGGCAATAATGCGACTCGAGTCGAGGAAAGACGACTCGGGCCAAGCTGTAAACAGAAGAGCCCATTCTTCGAAATTTTTCTTACGGATCTAATAGCCTTGTCCTCTACGCAGGTCGTGTGATCTGTTCTATGCTGGAGCATAAACATGGTGGTCGGACGAAGGTTGGTTGACCGACTACGCGCATTCTTCTGTTTCTTTTTACAAAATGCCTACAGTAATAAGCAAAATTAGTGTTCATATTAGCGTGAAACAGGTGAAAAGAAAATTGTTCGTGCAAAGTTTTGCCAAATTTCTGAATTAATTCCTAGTGAAAGGATTCAAAAAACTGGCTGACCTATCGGTCAACCGGCGAATAATACGCAAATACACGAAGCAGCACGCATGTCGGAGGAAATCGAGCATGTTTCGAGCATAAATAATTCCAGATAGGATAAGTGTCGTCGGCTTGGAAATCTTCGACACAGTATTCATGGAATATTTCAGTATATCGATCTCTGCCGTTTCACCCGGGCGATTGGGTGAACGGTAGTGCCGGGCGGAACGGCCGGGTTCGACTATCGGATTCATCGCAAGTGCGAATCCAGAATCGTTAGGACGGATATCCAAAAAATTCGCTTGATTCCCGGGTAATGGTCTATCAAACGACACGTCGTTTCTTTGAGCAATTTGGGGCAGTCCGTTTTTATCGTCGCAATGGAATCGATGGAAAGAGAAACGGGTGTTTTATTTTGGTTGGAAACGTTGTATATTATTGATAGAGATATTTAAACGTGGAATAACTCGGACGAATGATTTGATTTAAAATTGGAGAGGTATAATATTTGATATAACCAATTACAGGTGATTTAAAATATTAATGTAATGAAATACTTGTGTGGAAAATTTCAGTTCGAATCGGAAGTCGTAATTTTGTACAGAATGTTAATATAATTAAGACGTAGAATGATTGCATTATATGAAAATATTGATTGAAGCATTTAAGAGCGGAATATCTATAACGAACGTGGAATTTAATCTAGAATTCGACGGTTGTGATTGAATGTAACCAATATTAGACAGTTGAGCCGTGTAATATAATTCATACGTAGAATTCTTGAACCGAATGAGAATTATATTTGGAATGGAGCAATTCATTGAAATTCAGTAAAATTAATGCTGGTGGATTGAAAATATTAATAGAAACGCCCGAAGCTCTTTTATCCGATTATTAATTCCTGTTTCATAGCCAGAACGATATTATTCGATATTTGCGCAAATATACCGTCCAATGAATGATCGCGATCGTTCAGAAACGGGACATTCCGTGTCACGTTTTTGCGACGGCGATCGGTAACGAAGGACGAAGCTCATCGGACGTTTCCTGCGACAGTCAGCCAAATGGCCGATAGACATTTATTGCGTTTAATAGATATTCCTGTTGAAAGGAACAAAGGATCAATGAACGTCGAATGATTTTCTGGGCGAGCCGGGAATCGCTGATGGGAAAAGGGACAGCCAATTTCATTCGCGGAAAAGTATTCACCAGTTTTCGAACACCTTTTATTCGATCCCTTATCGGACTCCTTCCAAATCTCGACCCTTGGCCTTGTAATTTAAAGCCAAAGTGCACTCAAAATTAAAGGAATTAAAGGAAGACCTTTTCTACAGAGAACCGTTCTAAATCGGAGAAGAAAGAATCCATCTAATTAGTACAACTTTGTAAGCAGATTAAAACATCAACAAACCTTAAGAAAATTACAGAGCAACTGAGATTACGTGCCCTGTAACTAACTAGTTCTAATTTATTCTCATTAATGTTCACACACAACTGATAACAAATACTTGATTATTTGTTTAATGTCCACAAACCTATATTTCACATAAAAGATACATTAACAAATGACAAATTATAAAATCAAAGTTAATACAGTACCAATACAGTACCAAGAGAACCAATCAAGCAACAATCCGCAATAAACAGTATCTTTAGTTTGCTATATTTTTTCTAAAAACTCCTTATTTATTTGCTAGCCAGTTTCGCTAGGCGCTCGGTAACATAACGAATCCCTTCCGTAACGTTAACTAATGAACTCCAAACAACTATTGCGCAAGTACTTGTTATTCCGTGAATAATGTTTCGACTCTGTATACCGAGTCTCGGATTATTTCGCGGAATATTCGAGGGAACGACGGTAAAACGGGAACAGAGGGATGAAAGAGCGCGCGGCGCGCGCGTTCGGAAGGAATGGACGCACGCCCGTTTTCGGTGGACTGCGGATCCGTAATTTACAGGGCGTTTTTAGACCCCGACCGCGCGCCGTCCCCGTGGTGGATGGATGGATAACGAGAAAAGTTTTTCGCCCGGGACGTCCGGTGGTCTTTACATTACGTCGTAACGTCGCACCGCGCTGTTCGCCTCTCGTCCGCCTCGCTTGGTCCATTTCGCGCGATCGACCGCCGCGCAGAAGGGAAAACGTTGTTCCGTCAATCGTTTCGCTAGATCGGCCACCGTTTCCGCGTCGATGCGCAAACGAAGTCTCTGGAAATGGTTATTCGACGCGGTGCCCGCGAAACAAACCCGAGCACTTCCACTACAGGAAGCTTCATTAAGGAAACTTATGAACTCGGAAACTGAAGGGCGTGTTCTTTACCCTTGGAATAGAATTTTCGATGATTGAGGTAGGTTTTTATGGAAACCGTGTTGTTCGAGGGTTATTATTATTTTTAATAATATTTGTTTTCTACTGGATAAGCAATATTCTGGAATTTCGTAGTTTAATGCGTGTATTCTGCAATATCCTTGAATTTAGGAAAGTAGGGGACGACTTTAAAGTAACGTGTTTTGGGTTGGTTGTAATTTGATACATGTTAATTCGCTTTATGCATATATCATTTCAGCGAATATAAAAATGTTTAACGAACGGGTTACATAAATGTAAAACGAGAATTTCCTACGTAATGTAAACAACCGTTTCACTCATTGTGTTTTCTTTAATGTTCTCAATCTCCATCCTCTTACTTACAATTTTAATACAATATATTCAATTCTAATAACTCGTATTATTTATTCCTAACATATGTTCATAGTCCACTAAACTAGCCAACAATTCAACTCGAATCAAGCTTGAAAATTGACTGACTACGGCATTCATCGAGCACTCGCCTGGATACTCCGGAACGGACTCGTTAGGCATTTTTTCTTCCAGCTCTTCAACCCTCGTTTAAAATGTCTCCTTCTTTTCTCTCCAATTTATGGCGGGTCGGAACGAACGGTCGAGTGATTTCTCCCGTACGTTTCACAGTCGGAATATTTCGTCCGTCCCTCGTCTCGCTGAATATTCCCCGCGCCCTGTGATAATGAGAATTACGATCACGTCGCCGCGCGACTGATTTTGGGGTAGAATCGGCGCCCCGAAAAGGATTATAATGATTCCCGTGTTACGCAGTCCCCTCACGTAACGTGTAGTTGATATTTCCCCTTTCGTATGCCGACCAGGACGCCGACCAGTGTA